GTGCAACATATTCAATTAGTACGTTAGCATTCTTGTATTTTTTGTTGACAGATGACGTGATAAAGTGCAACATATTGTTCTATAAAGTGCAACATGATATTTTATAAAGTGCGACATTTCTATATATAAAGTGCATTAACTTATTTATACCATCCCAGATAAATTATGTGTACAATTGTACATCGGATTAACCTAAATAATTAAAATAGTTCTTTATTTATTATTGTCAATATATAATTTATATTTTATTACAAATTAATATATTATTTTAATATCATATATTATTTTTATTTGATAATTTATTTATTATTACAAAAAATTTATATTATTTTAATATATTATCTTATTTTCTTTAATATTTTATCTATTATTTTATTATATATATAATTTATTTATTAATGTACATTTCGTATAATATTACCGCAACACGCGTAATTTTAAATTGTGTATCCGTACAGAATATTGTGCAATTTAATCAACAATATTATGCACTTATTATATTTTTTGTGATAAATTACAGATTTTAACATTAATTAAATGACATATTATTTAACTTTTATAAAAATTGCTTACAACTCCCTCAAATATATCTAATTCTCATTGAAAAAGCCCTAGCCCCAAATTAATGTTCCAACATATTATCCAAATCACGTCTGCCGTCCTTCCAGCCACCAAACCACCACCAGCCGCCGTATCGGACCGTCCATCGATGGAGGCGCTCGATGTCGGAGCTGATTCATATACCTGGAAGACGAACAGCGGATCGGAGGACCACCGGAGACTCCTGCACATTCCGGCTACCGTCCGCCGTCAATATCATACTCGCGAGATGACTGGGGCCGTGAATATCTGAAGAATTCTCGATCTATCCGGTGTCGGCGTCGTTGCGGCGGACGTGGATGAAGATGTCGTCGACGTCGGTGAAAAGCCGTCCGGTGAGAGGAAGAAGTGGGAGATGAAGGAGGTGTCGGTGTCGGTGTCGGACAAGGGGAGGCAACGGAGGGGAAGTTGTGGATGCGCCGGAGAATGTGTACGTGTGTGTCAGCGGACGATGGCCGGCGGCAGATCCATGGCGGTGGTCGAGCTTCGGTTATCCGACGGTCTGCTCCGTCACCGACGACGGTGGTTCTGCAGCTTTTCCGGAGGGTAATGGAGATCGCCGGCGGGAGAGAGGAGGCGGCGATTGGCACCGGGGACGGCGGAAGAACAAAGGTTGTGTGTGTGTAACAGTTTAGTGCGTGTGTGTGTGTGTGTGTGTGAG